CTACACTGCTCAAAACTCGCGTTTGAATCGTCAGTGGCAAATTCTTTAAATATAAAAAACTTACTTACAGTCTTGTGAGTCAGAACAGCTGGCACTGTAGTCTATTCTCCCAGGATCAGGAAACAGTCCTCCATAATAGGCCGGAGGCCTAGAGTGAGCCGCGGCCTAGAGTGAGCGGAGGCCGGCTTGAGTGAGCAGAGGCGGGCGGGCTTGAGAACGGAGCGGCCGGCGGATTCGACGAAGGAGCGGCCGGTGGGCTTGCGGCAACCACATGTGACGACCCCAGGCTGGACTCCGCTTCGTCCACGGTGAAAGCCGATCCGGCGATCCACAGCGCGAAGTTGATGTATTTCCTCAGCGACCAGCACGGATCAGCTCTAGGCATGACGAAGCGGATATCGTCCTCTTTTGGAAGACCAAACAAAGTAGTTTCGCTTTCACAACGAAACACAGCGCCTTCACGACATGGCGGTGGCAGCAACAACAATACTACAGCGAGAATAAAACTTACGCCTTCTTTCTTTGCGTGAACATTTGGGCGGCGTTATGCAAATCTTCCCACATCGTGACGTAGACATGTGGGGGCGTGTTAGAACGAACCGCTTTAGGTAGGCGTGGTTGCCTCTTAACTTTTATAAAGAATATCTCTTTGGATTTGAGACTTTAGTCTTTGCAACTTTACAGATCTTCTTTATGCACCAAGAGCTTGTAACACTCCGAAGAGTAAGGAAAAATTTAAATCGCATCATATGACCTTTAAATTTTATCTACCTCCTGTAACAAAAAGGCAACTAAAACTTTGAATGTATGCTCACTTTTTTGGTGTTTTTGTATCATTTTTATGATAATTATTTTGTGTTTTGAGGGAAGAGTATGTTTTTTGTTGTGTGATCTGTTTATTTATTTTATTTATCTTATTTTTCCTCATTTACTTGTTTAATTTATTTATTTTTCTACTCTTTCTCTTTTGATTTATAATTGCTGTATATTGTTTGGTCATCTTTGAACCCCTTGCTCTTTTCCTTGGCATATGTTCTGTCACACTTGTATTTCTGAACGAATGTTTAATTAATAATAAAAAAAAGAGATTAGTTTGGAGCCAGAGTTTGCGCAGTAGTGTTGTGAGGTGGAGCCGCAGTATCAAACTCCCGCCCAAACTCCCGCAGACCCAATCAACCATAAAGACACGCGACACTTTTATAGCATCACATTACTAGCTAAAATTAAACTTATCACAAAAACGCATAATTTTACATATATCACTGTGATAACAACTACCTTTAATGACCAAAACCATCTTTCGGAAAATTGTATTGGAAGCGTAATAAATTTTTTTATTTTGACTCAAGTCCCATTCGTTTACATGGAGGGGGCGGGGTTTATGACCTGTACTGCAGCCAGCCACCAGGGGGCGATCAAAGAGCCCGCAGCTTCACTTTTCAGGACGTGTGAGGCACACCCGGTAGCAACACTATCAATGCCAAAGCGTTCTCGCACATAGATATGTATAGATTCCCCATTCGACGGCTCCAGGCACGAAGATGCTGCCGCCATCTTGGAGCGGTCAACTTGACGTCATTCACCATACTGTAGGTTCTCACCTATGATTCTCACAGAGCCGTTGAGCCGTTCTGTGCAGGATGGACACTTTTCACAAGACTGTGATGACGCGTTTAACGGTCATCAGCATCGTAAATCCTCAAAAGTTTTTCATATTTGTATTTTTTTTGAATGTATGTACATATCACCTTTGCATCAAATTACAAAAAAACAGTTAATGCTAATGCAAGGGTGTTTCTAATGCAGCGTCTATGGGAGGGACGGTAAATTTGACATCGTTCTCTCTTCTGGCAGCCGTTATCAGTCTCTCTCAATAATCTTTCGAATATTCAGTGATTACTATGGTGAATGACGTCAAGTTGACCGTTACAATATGGCGGACGGCTTACGTATAGCGGCCCATAGAAACAGTCGCTAATGAGGTATCTATGTATATATATCTATGTTCTCGCACTGTACAGTTTGGACCACGTGACCGATGTACCACCTGACCGCCGCAAAATTATTATTATTATTTTCTGTTTTTTTTTTTTTCTCAAAAGAGCCACAGTAATATACATACATACATACATATATATATATATATATATATACAGGTGCATCTCAATAAATTAGAA